AAATATTTGTCTTGTCTCTGGCTCTCACTCTGGGGCTCTGCAAATTTGGGAAATGTAAGATGCTTTCCAGGATCTTTTACTCTGTGCACAAGATGTACTGAGTCAGAATTGAAATATGCCACGTTTCCTTATCACAATATTATTTCAAATGCACTTTATTTCCGTAAACAGAGATTTCAAGCTCCTCAAATGTTAGCATTTTGCTCTGACTTTAACAAACATATAAGAGGAAAAAAATCAGAGTCCTCACAACTTGAAACTGCTGCATGCATAGTAAGGAATTCAGGTTGTTCGTCTTTTGATAAACTACAGAACACACATGAGTTGGGGGGAAATAAAGTAGGCGATACTAATTTCCAAAGGAAAACCGAAGGGACTGGAGCCAGGCAGAAGTTTCTTAATCTGGCTAAAGCCTATCCAAGCCTTTTCAGGTGGAGTTTCTACCTTCCATCGCAAGAACAAGCTCAAATATATCACAGCATCCCCAGAGTAACCTGGGTAATCCATTAGCAAGTTTAATTAACTATAGGTGGCTAAAATAAATTCACTTTGTGTATTCTTTAAAGATTGAACAAATTTCTGTATAATAATAACCAGAATGATCAGGTTTGAAATTCAGCAGAGAGATAATTTCTAGAAAGTCTTTGTCTATAAGAGGATAGGGATAGTAAATTATGTGGAGTTTCCATTTGAAAAAGAAAGATATTTTTCCAGGAAAGACCCCAAATTAAGAGTAGTCATTGAAGGAATATCTTTTATAAGTATCTTTGTATCTTTGGGACAGGAAGAAAACATGGTGAGGGATCCTTGATAAATTTCAATAGAAGGTAATATGGACAAAACTAGAAGCAGAGGAAAAACAGGCTTCAAGTGAGAATAAAACACAGTGAAAGATAATCCAAAATGAAAATTTATACATGACTAAATTCACTTCTTAAAAATATAGCATCTATCAGCTTGGATTTCTAAAAAGAAATTATGAATCTTTCTTACATTAATCACACATTAAAAAAATTTGCAAAAGGTTAAAAATAAAGAGATGGATAGGGGCACCTGGGTGGCTCAGTCGTTAGGCGTCTGCCCTCGGCTCGGGTCATGATCGCAGGGTCCTGGGATCGAGCCCCGCATCGGGCTCCCTGCTCAGCAGAGAGCCTGCTTCTCCCTCTCCCACTCCCCCTGCTTGTGTTCCCTCTCTTGCTGTGTCTCTCTCTGTCAAATAAATAAATAAATAACCTTTAAAAAAAAGTATACACAAGATAAAATGCAATTAAAAAAAAATAAAAAATAAAAAAGAGACGGATAAAGCTACATTAGGCAAATATTAAGCTAAAGTCTGCGCTATTATCAGAAGTAGAAGCGACCTACCCTTAAAATATGAATAGTAGAGCAATGTTTTATGCACCTAATCTCTTAGTCTTTAAATGCACACACTAAAAAGTAACAGAGATACAATAAGAAATTGGCAAACCTATTATCAGCCTGGAAAAATTTAATAGAATTCTATCATGAAATAATTGATTTAGTAAATGTAACATTAGAAAGGATACTGAAAATTCAAAGAACACAATTATAAAACAAACTAAAAGCTGACATATGTTTATTTCAAGCATCTATGGAATATTTCCAAATATTAATATATGCTGTGCCACCAAGGAAGTCTCAGGAAATTTCAAGGAAGCAATACCTTACAGAGTAGCAATTCCTCTGACCACAGCATGATCAAATGAGAAACCAAAAATAAAAAGCCACTAAAATCAAAGAAACACAATATTGTAGAAGCTAAATAGGGAATCCTAAGTAATATATCTGTGGTCTATAGCTGCATTTACATTGCACAGCAAAAGAGAAAGAAGCAACAAATAACACATAACAATAAACATTTATAGCTGGGATGCATGGGGTGATTTAGTTTTTTGGGGTTTTTTTTCATCTTTTTTTTTAAATTTAATTTTATTATGTTATGTTAGTCACCATACATTACATCATTAGTTTTTGATGTAGTGTTCCATGATTCATTGTTTGCATATAACACCCAGTGCTCCATGCAATACGTGCCCTCCTCAATACCCATCACCAGGCTAACCCATTCCCCCATGCCCCTCCCCTCTAAAACCCTCAGTTGGTTTCTCAGAGCTCATAGTCTCTCATGGTTTGTCTCCCCCTCCAATTTCCCCCCTTCATTTTTCCCTTTCTACTATCTTCTTTTTTTTTAACATATAATGTATTATTTGTTTCAGAGGTACAAATCTGTGATTCATCAGTCTTATGCAATTCACAGTGCTCACCATAGCACATACCCTCCCCAATGTCCATCACCCAGCCACCCCATCCCTCCCACCCCCCACCACTCCAGCAACCCTCAGTTTGTTTCCTGAGATTAAGAATTCCTCATATCAGTGAAACTGATATCGTATGATACTTGTCTTTCTCTGATTGACTTATTTTGCTTAGCATAATACCCTCTAGTTCCATCCGCGTTGTTGCAAATGGCAAGATTTGGGGGGGGGGGTTTGATGGCTGCATAATATTCCATTGTATATATATACCACATCTTCTTTATCCATTCATCTGTTGATGGACATCTTGGCTCTTTCCATAGTTTGGCTATTGTGGACATTACTGCTATAAACACTGGGGTGTGTGTACCCCTTCGAATCACTACATTTGTATCTCTGGGGTAAATACCCAGCAGTGCATTTGCTGGGTCGTAGGGTAGCTCTATTTTCAACTTTTTGAGGAACCTCCATACTGTTTTCCAGAGTGGCTGCACCAGCTTGCATTCCCACCAACAGTATAGAAGGGTTCCCCTTTCTCTGCATGCATGGGGTGGTTTTTAGGAGGTTCTGCTGATCTTGGATAGGCTTGGATCCCTAGAGTCTGGCTGGCCATAGTCTGATGTAGGCTACTCTATACTGGCATGACTGGGATGACTCAGCTCTGTTTCATATGCTTTTCAGGTCCCAGAGGCTGGCCCAGTATTCTCTTACAGCCATGACCAAGCCATAACAGCAAGCAGATACACCCAAGGCCTCATAAGGGCTAGGCTGAGAATTGACACATAGTCACTCCCACTCCTTTCTACAGTCAAAGTTATACTCTGCCTTTAAGGAAGGAACTCAAGAGTTACCAGACAAAAGGTGTTGACAAAAGTAGAGTGAGGAACTGGGGCTTCTGTGTTGGACAGGAGGGGTAAAAATGGGTGTCTTTGTCTTATTCCCAATCATAGAGGGAAAGCTGCCAACCTTTCACCCATGAGTATGATGTTAGCCATGGACTTATTGTATATAGGCTTTATTATGTTAAGATATATTCCTTCTATACGTACTTTGTTGAGGGTTTTTATCATGAAAGGATGTTGTCTTCTGTGAAATGTATTGTCTGCGTATTGAGATGATCATATGATTTTTACCTTTCATTCTATTCACGTGGTGTATAACATTTATTGATTTACATATGTTGCACCATCCTTGCATCCCAGGAGTGAATCCTACTTGGTCATGGTGTGTGATCCTTTTAATGTGTGGTTGCATTCAGTTTGCTAATGTTTTGTTGAGAATTTTTGCATCTAAATTCCCCAGGGATGTTGGTCTGTAATGTTCTCTTCTTTTAGTGTCATCTGTCATTGGCCTCGGGGTAATGCTGGCCTCACAGAGTGAGTTTGAAAGTATTCCCTCCCCTTCAATTTTTTGGAAAACTTTGGGAAGGACTGGCATTCATTCTTTTTTATTTTTTAATTTTTAAAAAAGATTTTATTTTATTTGAGAGTGAGAGAGCACAAGCAGGGGAGAGGGGGAGAGGGAGAAGCAGACTCCCCACTGAGCAGGCAGCCCGACTCGGGACTTAATCCCAGGACTTTGGGATCATGACCTGAGCTGAAGGCAGACGCTTAACCAACTGAGCCATCCAGGTGCCCTTCATTCTTTTTTAAATGTTTGGTAGAATTCACCAGAGAAGCCATCTGGTCCTGGCCCTGGGCTTTTCTCTGTTGGGAGGTCTTTGATCATGGATTCAATGTCCTTCCAGCTTTTCTTTTGTTTCTGATTTCTAGTTTCCTATCCTCATGGTCAGAAAAGATACTCAGTATAATCTCAATTTGCTAAGACTTGTTTTGTGGCCTGTTGTACAATCTGTTCTTGTATCTGTTGGGAGGTCTTGGATATGTGAGAGCTGCTTCACGCCTCTTTGGGTAACAGCCTGTCTCTGCTTTGTGTCAATGCTGGGTTGCCAAGCAAACCTCAGCAACAACTCACCTTTGCTTAGGAATGGGGGCAGGGAGGTTTCCCACCCCACCCGTGGTGGTAGATGGCCATTGCTTTTTACTCTATGCAAGGGTCATGTTACGTCAACTAAGGTGTGTTTAGATAGGTGTTGTTGCAGCCCACTGAAAGTCAAGCCATGGGCACAAGGAGTGCACTGACTTTGCAATAGGGGATCCAAAGGAAACAAAGCTCTGGGGGAAAGGCCCTAGCTGTCTGGGGCTCCCAGATATTACTGCTCTTGTGTCAAGAGCTATTGAAAACACACAGTGAAACCTTCACCATCCAGGCACTTTGCATTGGAGAAAATCATTTAGTCTGAGCAGCGGGGAAAAAAAAATACGGTCTCTAGGAATGGGGAAAATGAACCACTCTGACACCAGAAAGGAGGGCCTCTTCTTCCTGCAGTGTCTCTTCGATCTTCTCTGCTGACAAAGCTTTACATCGTGCCGGCTGGCAAAGAAAACGACTTAAAAGGCTGAGATCCATTTTCATAGAGCTGAGGCAAGACGTTGGTCACTGACACAATGCATGACCAAAAAAATAAGGGAGCAAAGAGTTTGGAAGTGGAAAGAAAAGAAAGCTAGGGGAGTCATAACACGCTAACTTTGGAACTCACAGAGTCCAAGCACTCATTTGTAGCACTGCAATTATCAGGCTGCTCTTTTTCTGTTTGCAGGGTATGTCTTCTCATGAAGAGCGTCACATTTACGTTATCTTCTCTTTTTCTTTCTTCTTAAACAGGGCAAAATGATTAAGAGAGAAATAAGTGTGTGTCAACAGACATGGGCATTATTATGCAAGAACCTTCTGAAGAAATGGAGAATGAAAAGAGAGTCCTTGATGGTATGATTCAGTATCTCTGTCACTTCTTATTTACAATATGGAAATGTATATTTCCTGGGAAGTAACCATACTTTATCTCCCCTTCCAAAAACCAAACCAAACCAGAAAACCTCTCTACAAGAGAAGGAGTTGTTCCTCGAACTGCAATCTGTCTGCAGACCTTTCAGTTGACACAGATCCCAAGTTGAGGTCTAAAGTCACTGACACTGGCCAGCAATAGAAAATCCAATAAATGTTTTAAAAGTCAGTGGTCACATGTTTGCTAGGGCTCCTACTCATGGATAGTCAGGTTTAGACACTGAGATTTTGAAGGCATGGTTAATTAAACCACGGAAGTAGGTAACTGGTATATTCTCTTTTGAATCTCTTTCTCTTTTTAAAAATAAGTCATTCTCTTCAAAAGAGTGGAAAACTTGGAAATGTTATTAGTACCAAGAAGAAAATTAGCATTAGCTCCTATCATTTTACCATATAACAAAAATCCTGGTTGAACTTCGATATCTTCTGAAAATCAGATAGATATAAATTAGTAGCATTTTTAACTAAATTAGAATTTTACTGTCTAATTGTGAATTTTTTCTATCATCATCCATTTAGGAAATAAAGTGATGTCTTATTGGAAGTTTGCAGGTGACCAACAATGATAACTAACAAAACAGTCTTTCTCCAGTTGCCTGAATTGTGCTGAGTTTCCAATACCAGGATCTTGGCATGTAGCCAGTATATTATTATTCAGTAAGCAGTGCCTTGGAACTGTCTCATGTAACACTAGGCTCTCAGTAGAACCAGATACAGCATGAGTAGGTCATACCAGCTGGTAATAATTTATAATAGCTTGCCTCTCATACTTTCATGATCGGTGCATGCTTTAGACTGGTGCTGTGGATCAATACACTTGAATACCTATTAAGACCTCATTGGAATTAGACTGCTGAATTTTGTACTGTACATATTTTAAACAGTTCATAATGTGGCGTATATTGAAAGCAGAAAAATGCACAAGACAAACTGTATGACCAAATGATTGTGGATAACTAATTCAAAATCATAATTTTCTTTATTCTTTCTCTTGGATTGTATAGGAATGGTTGACCCCATTGCTCCTCCTACTTTGTTTGTATCTATATCCTACTAATCATAAAGTTAATGATTTTTCTTCACTACCTGCTGTGAACCTGGGACCGGTAGACTCATTTAAAGATTCTACATTTTCTATTATATACACACCTGTCACCAATACAACCCAACAGATAATGAGTAAAGTAGCCTTAGCTTCCTTCATGAAAGGTGAGTTTTCTGGCAACCAAGAGGAATTTCTGATGTCAATTTTTGGTTCATTTGACTGCAGAGACATGCATTTAATTTGCATTTCAGTTGATAAACTGTGTTGTCAAAATTTATAGATTATGAGAAATTGAGTGCACAGTCTCTCAGCAAAGAAATCTTGATCTTGCATAGGGTTTGGGGAAGCATGGAATATAGTGTTTGGAGACTTTGAAAAGCAGGAGTGTTTAGGGAATTGTTGACATTTGGCTGTGGAAGCCTTATTACTAGAATGAAACTGTCACTCTAGTATTTGCTTATTATTAGAGACAAAAACAATGAGTCTTTTCTTGAATTTGATTATGGGAGTTCTATCTCCAGCTTTTTACTACCAAAAATTGTCTTACTATATTTGAAGATTCTATTGATGAGCATTCTGAGTTTCAAGTTTCCACCCTTCAGTGTTAAGATACTTACCAGTGAAAAATAAGGAGAGCATTATGACTGTCAAAGTCACTTTCCTTTAGAATAATTTTCTGAAATCAGAAGAGAAACAGCCTAGTGCAGAGGCAAGAGAACTAGTCTTAATATTCATTAAATGCTCTCATGCACTAGATTTTATAGAGCCTTTATTCTGTAGTAATAGAATATTATTCTGTGATAATATTATTCTGTATTATATTTTTCTGTACTCTGTAGTAATATTATGTACTAATAATAGATATTATTGTTTATTTTACAAATAATGGAAATTGAGTGATAAAGCTTACATGACTTGCTCAAGATCACATGGATTTAAGGAATAGATTCCAGAAAAAGAATAGTTCTATCAAAATACGTGCTGCCTTTTTCCTCCACTTGCATCTTCAACACTCCCACCCCAATCCAGGACTTTCTTTGCATTCCTTCTCATTCTTTCAGTCTTAGTGAGACCTCTGTATGGCATTGAACACAATATCTGCTGAAAAGAGGGATTATTTTAGTGATGTCAATATAATCAGGTAACTGGTATATTCTCTTTTGAATCTCTTTCTCTTTTTAAAAATAAATCATTCATGAGAAGACATATATAAGTATTTTCATAGCATACCAGTTAATACCATACTGTCAGGATTATTAAAGGAAAGTGAATTTTTATAATTATTTCCATCTGCTATAAGCCAGAGCCTAATTGTGATTTAAACACAATGACCTACCATTCGTGACCATTTTTTTACTACAATTGTAGATTTATTGCAATGCTAATTCTCCTGTGAATAGTTTAATTTGTATGGAATAATATTATATGTGATTGAAATTGGTTCAAGAACTACAAATGAAAATAAAATAACTAATTTTCATGTAGTTCTTCTGAAGAGCAATGTCTCTTCCCAAACTTTACTCTGCCTGACCTACTCAAAGTTGATATTTGATTTTATTTCCATAAAGAACTCTAGTAAAAGTAATTTATCATGACATCCTGAAGTTGATCTCCTAGTAATTTACTAACAAATATATTCCCTTCTTGTAATGGCAGGTATAAAAGTTTTGGGGCTGTCCAATGAAGAAAATATTAAAGAATTAATGCCAGATTATCCTGAGGAAGTAATACAAGTCATCTTTACTAATACATTCTCATATCATTTGAAATTCTTGCTGGGATACAGAATCCCGACAAAGAAGGAACACAGGGACCATGAAGGTAACTTTTCCAGCTATGTAATTCCATTGCTGTCCACTTCAATTATGTCATAAGTTATATATAGGAATGGATGTTAATACAGCAAATTTAAAAATCCCTATCTGCAATGTGATGTCAACAGGATAGTCAACACATTTTAAAAATGTACATTGGTTTTTGGGTTTATTAACATACTGTATTAGATAGTTGTTATATATGGTTTTATATATATATTTATATATTTCCATATATGCATGTGCACATATACATATATATTAAATGCAATATGTGGTTATAATATATATTGCTAAAGGAAAGTAAAATTGTTTATGGATAAAATAGAAGCTTCTCTTCAAATGTCTGAGTAAGCTTATTTTTGAGGGTCCAAAATGAAGAGGGCACCAAATCCAGAGTGATTGATTATTGTTAATGCTCTATGATTTTGCCAATCTCACCAACCAAGAGGTTTGGGTTTTAGCTACATGAGGACAGGTGAGAAGATCTTGGGTTTATATGAGATGGACATTTCTGTATTAATTTGAAAACTGGAGAGACTATATACTCAGTGAATGCATAGACAAGAAAAAAGGCCAAGATGGTTTTTAAAAAGAATTAAACAAGTAATTAAGAGAGTATGCTATTACCATAGTAAAAGACAGATAGACCAATGAAACAGAAGAAAGAAACCTGGAAAGCTCTCACATAAACATGAAAACTAACATATGACTGAGAAGACACTGTGATTGGTACTGGGAAAATCATCTCTCCGTAAAGAACAAAATGAAATTATCTCATACTAAACAACCAATTCCAGGTACAGAACTCAGTGAAAAAAAAAATCCTGTAAACTTTCTAGAAGTCAGTATAGGAGAATATCTTTATAACTGCCGGATAGAATAGAATTCTTAAAACAAAAAATACATAAACTATAAAAGAAAAATTTACTTAATTCAGCTAGATCAAAATTAAGGAATTATCTTCATCAAAAGACATCAGAAAGTGAAAAGTAAGGGCAAAACTTGTGATGAAATATTTATGCAAATGAAACTAACAAAAAGTTAATACCAGAATATATAAAGATTTTCTCTGAATAAATAAGAAAAAAAGCATAGAAATAGGAAAGAAGTGAAAGATATAAATAGGAACTTCATAGAAGGAGAAACACAGATCAAGAATGAACACTTGGACCTGCATTAGTAATCAGGGAAATGCATTTAGAAACCACATGTGATATCATTTTATATTTAACAAGATTGGCCAAAAACAGTAAATAGAACGATACAAAGTATTGACAAGGATATGTAGCAAAGAAAACCCAAAATTATAAAACTATTTTAAACATTTAATATTGAGAAATTTTATTTTTAAATTGAAGATGTGTATAACTTATAACCCAGCATCATAGAAATTTTATTAGTGAAAGTCTCATGCCTGTGTTAAAGATTTGCAGCCTATTCTCCTCTCCTTCTGAGGGCATAGAATAATTGTTTTGTAGCTATAATCAGATACCTAGATTCAAGGCATTGAAAAGCAGATGTGAGTTCTCTATACCCTTTCCTCACCTGCTTCTGCAAGCTAGATGGAAACTGTCACCTTGGGACCCCTGGTGTGAAACAGAGGACCTCGCTCCCCCCCCTTCCAAAGACCTGTGCTGAATCTATAGTCTGAGTGAGAAGTAAACTGTTGCTGTGAAAAGACATTAAGATGTTGAAGGTTGTTACTAGGCATATCATAATAGACTATCCTGATGATACACACATATTCATGAGAAGACGTATATAAGTATTTTCATAGCAGTGGCTTTTTTTTTTTTGTAATAGCAAAAAGAAAAAAGAAATTAACCAAATTGTCATCTATGAGAGAATGGATAAATACACTGAGTTGCATTCCTGCAATGTGGTTCTACACAATCATAAGAAGAAAAAATGGGGCCATCTATATAAATTTCAAAATCATAACATAGAACAAATGAAGCAAAATGCAGAATGATGACTGTAATGAGGTAGAAGATAGAAAGTTCAACAATTTTAAATTATGTGTGTAGTTTGGGGATACATTACAGAAGCTTAATGGCATATATAAACACAAAGTTCAGGAAAGCAGTTAGCCAGTTAGGAGCTTGCTGCTAGGAAAAGCAATGAGATCATAGACAATATACAGGGGATTCCAGTTGTATTTGTAATGATTTATTCATTTTTAAAATTTGGCCATGGTTACATATGTGTTCATTATATCATCATTTGTAGGCTTGAACTGTTTCCAAATGACTTTTAAATATTTAAAATGTTAATGAAACATGAAACATGCATTTAATTCTAATACTCAATTTTAATTTTTCATATTAAATATCACCATCTCTTTAATGCAGTGTAATACTCAATGGACTGGTAGGCTTTTTTTTTTTTTCCTTTTCTTTTTCCAGTTTCAATTATTTTTTTTTAATTTATTTTTTATTCTTATGTTAATCCCCATACATTACATCATTAGTTTTAGATGAAGTGTTCCATGATGCATTGTTTGTGCACAACACCCAGTGCTCCATGCAGAATGTGCCCTCCTCAATACCCACCACCAGGCTAAACCTATCCTCCCACCCCTCTCCCCTCTAGAACCCTGTTTGTTTTTCAGAGTCCATCGCCTCTCATGGTTCGTCTACCCCTCCGATTTCCCCCGCTTCATTCTTCCCCTCCCGCTACCTTCTTCTTCTTCTTTTTTTTCTTAACATATATTGCATTATTTGTTTCAGAGGTACAGATCTGAGATTCAACAGTCTTGCACAATTCACAGCGCTTACCAGAGCACATACCCTCCCCAGTGTCTATCACCCAGTCACCCCATCCCTCCCAGCCCACCCCCCACTCTAACAACCCTCAGTTTGATTCCTGCAATTAAGAATTCCTCATATCAGTGAGATCATATGATACATGTCTTTCTCTTTTTGACTTATTTCACTCAACATAATACCCTCCAGTTCCATCCACGTCGTTGCAAATGGCAAGATCTCATTCCTTTTGATGGCTGCATAATATTCCATTGTATATATATACCACATCTTCTTTATCCAGTCATCTGTCGATGCACATCTTGGCTCTTTCCACAGTTTGGCTATTGTGGACATTGCTGCTATAAACATCGGGGTGCGCGTACCCCTTCGGATCCCTACTTTTGTATCTTTGGTGTAAATACCCAGTAGTGCAATTGCTGGATCATATGGTAGCTCTATTTTCAACTTTTTGAGGAACCTCCATACAGTTTTCCAGAGTGGCTGCACCAGCTTACATTCCCACCAACAGTGTAGGAGGGTTCCCCTTTCTCCGCATCCCCGCCAACATCTGTCATTTCCTGACTTGTTAATTTTAGCCATTCTGACTGGTGTGAGGTGGTATCTCATTGAGGTTTTGATTTGGATTCCCTGATGCTGAGCGATATTGAGCACTTTTTCATGTGTCTGTTGGCCATTTGGATGTCTTCTTTGGAAAAATGTCTGTTCATGTCTTCTGCCCATTTGTTGATTGGATTCTTTGTTCTTTGGGTGTTGAGTTTGATGAGTTCTTTATAGATTTTGGATACTAGCCCTTTATCTGATATGTCATTTGCAAATATCTTCTCCCATTCTGTCGGTTGTCTTTTGGTTTTGTTGACTGTTTCCTTTGCTTTGCAAAAGCTTTTTATCTTGATGAAGTCCCAATAGTTCATTTTTGCCCTTGCTTCCCTTGCCTTTGGCGATGTTTCTAGGGAGAAGTTGCTTCGGCTGAGGTCAAAGAGGTTGCTGCCTGTGTTCTCCTTTAGGATTTTGATGGACTCCTGTCTCACATTGAGGTCTTTCAACCATTTGGAGTCTATTTTTGTGTGTGGTGTAAGGAAATGGTCCAGTTTCATTCTTCTGCATGTGGCTATCCAATTTTCCCAACACCATTTGTTGAAGAGACTGTCTTTGTTCCATTGGATATTCTTTCCTGCTTTGTCGAAGATTAGTTGACCATAGAGTTGAGGGTCCATTTCTGGGCTCTCTATTCTGTTCCTTTGATCTATGTGTCTGTTTTTGTGCCAATACCATGCCGTCTTGATGATGACAGCTTTGTAATAGAGCTTGAAGTCCGGAATTGTGATGCCGCCGGCTTTGCTTTTCTTTTTCAATATTCCTCTGGCTATGCGGGGTCTTTTCTGGTTCCATACAAATTTTAGGATTATTTGTTCCATTTCTTTGAAAAAAGTGGATGGTATTTTGATGGGGATTGCATTGAATGTGTAGATTGCTCTAGGTAGCATTGACATCTTCACAATATTTGTTCTTCCAATCCATGAGCATGGAATGTTTTTCCATTTCTTTGTGTCTTCCTCAATTTCTTTCATGAGTATTTTATAGTTTTCTGAGTATAGATCCTTTGTCTCTTTGGTTAGATTTATTCCTAGGTATCTTATGGTTTTGGGTGCAATTGTAAATGGGATGGACTCCTTAATTTCTCTTTCTTCTGTCTTGTTGTTGGTGTATAGGAATGCCACTGACTTCTGTGCATTGATTTTATATCCTGCCACTTGACTGAATTCCTGTATGAGTTCTAGCAGTTTTGGGGTGGAGTCTTTTGGGTTTTCCACATAAAGTATCATATCATCTGCAAAGAGTGAGAGTTTGACTTCTTCTTTGCCAATTTGGATGCCTTTGATTTCTTTTTGTTGTCTGATTGCTGTGGCTAGGACTTCCAATACTATGTTGAAGAGCAGTGGTGATAGTGGACATCCCTGCCGCGTTCCTGACCTTAGGGGGAAAGCTTTCAGTTTTTCCCCATTGAGAATAATATTTGCTGTAGGTTTTTCATAGATGGCTTTTATGATATTGAGGTATGTACCCTCGATCCCTATACTCTGAAGAGTTTTGATCAAGAAAGGATGCTGTACTTTGTCAAAAGCTTTTTCTGCATCTATTGAGAGGATCATATGATTCTTGTTCTTTCTTTTGTTAATGTATTGTATCACGTTGATTGATTTGCGGATGTTGAACCAACCTTGCAGCCCAGGGATAA